GTTAAGTACAGTTAAGCCTAAGAGATTTGTGTTGTATTGGCGGCTGCCTGAAAACATGCAACATTCTCCAGCTACAGTCCTTCACCTTTCCACCAAAGTCTGATTCTTTTGGAGTCGTGCTTGCTTACTGCATTGGTCAGGGTTGTTAAATATTTAAAAGTTGTTTTCTTTTTGAAATGTTGCAATAATTTTACAAATAATTCTCCCAATTCTGCTCAATGTACTCCACATCAATTCATGCAAGTATTGTCAGGTTTCTCCAAATCTGTCATTTTTGTCATTTCTTATAAAACTACATGTAGTTTTGTAATGGAAAACCATTACATTCATATACCATAATTTGCTCAGTTGTTCTCCAAATAATATTCACTTCTTTTCAACAAACAAATAAAGCATTTATTAAATGCTTACTGATTTTTCAATACAGCAAAAGGTCCTGCCATAAATATTTTTGAACACTTGAGCCTTTTCACTCTGTCTAATCTCTTTGGGCCTAGTAGGGGTATTTCTGGGTCACAATCTGGTGACTTTGTACATAGAGTTCCAAATTGCTTTCCAGAATGATTGGACCAATTCAGAGCCCCACCAACAGGACGCCTTTCCTCCTACAAGTCTCTCCAAGAATTGTCATTTTCCTTTTTTATCCTCTTTGCTAATCTTAAGATTTTGAGGTAGGATTTTAATTTTAGTGACTTGGAGGATTTTTTTTTAAATATAGTCTTTGATAGCTTGAATTTCTTTCTTTAACAGCCACCTCTTATATCCTTTGACCCCCACCAATTCTTGGGTAGGAAATTATTTAATCTCCCTTTCAGCTTGAATCCTTTCTTCAAAGGTCTTTTGTTGATTATATGTTTTCTTGCATTCTGTCTGGTTTTCTTTATTCTTGTTTTTTTTGGTGCACTTTCAGAACTTTGTCAGGGTTTTTGTAGGAGAGCCAGTCTCCTCTGGGAATTTTCACGTTGCCATTTTTACCTGAAGTATATAGGTAGCCTTACATTGGTGATTATGAGCCCCAAAATGATCCTTAATTCAGGACAGTCTTCCTAACTCCAGGTCTGGCATTCTATCCATGGAACCACCTAGCTGTCTATAATACATCTTGCCTGTGGGCAGCGTAGGGCAGCATGCTGGTGCCTACCTCTGGGGTTAACTTCTCTGTGATCATTATCTTAAGTACTAGCCTCTGATAAAGCCTCATGGGGGCTGAATGAAGACCTGAATTCAAATCCTGCCTCTGACACATAGTAGTTGTATGACCCTGGACAAGTCACTTAGCCACTGTCTGCCTCAGTTTCCTCATCTATAAAATAGAGATAATAATAGTCCCTACCTCCCAGGGTTGTTGTGAGGATCAAATGAGATAATATTTGTAAAATGTTTTATAAATCTTAAAGTGCTTTATGAGTGCTGGCTGCTATCTCTAGGCTGACAATTCTACCTACCCTGCCCTAAGCTCTCTTCGAACTTCCAGTCTCATATCTCCAACTTCCTTTCAGACGTCTCAAACTGGATGGCCAGTAGACATCTTTAAATCAATATGTCAGGGGCAGTTAGGTGGCGCAGTGGATAGAGCACCGACCCTGAATTCAGGAGGACCTGAGTTCAAATCCGGCCTCAGACCAAACACTTGACACTTACTAGCTGTGTGACCCTGAGCAAGTCACTTAACCCCAATTGCCTAAAAACAAAACAAAACAAAAAAAATAAATATGTCCAAAATGGAACTCATTATCTTCCCCCTAACCAGGGGTGGGGAACCTGTGTCTGTCTGGGTCCTTGGGTGTGGCCTTTCAACTGAGTTCAAATTTTACAGAACAAATCCTTTTACTAAGGAGATTTGTTCTGTGAAGTTTGGATTCTGTCAAAAGGCCACACTTGAGGACCTAGAGGGTCACATGTGGCCTTGAGGCCTCAAGTTCCCCACCCAGGCCTAGGTATCATCCTCAACTCCTCACTATTTCTCACCCCTTAGGTCCAATCTGTTGCCATCACCTGTGGATTTCACCTTTACAACCTATCTTAAATATGCCTCCTTCTCTCCTCTGATATGCCCCCCTCCTAAGACCCTCATTCCTGGCAGGTCTGCCAACCTCAAGCCTCTCCCTACTTCCATTCAGCCCCCATTCAGCCACTAAAGTGATTTTCCTAAAGCACAGGTCAAACCATGACACCTCTTTCTCCCCCCACACACACTCAATAAACTTCAATGACTCTCTTCCACCTCCAGGATCAAATACAAAATCCTCCTGCGTTCAAAGCCCTTCATAACCTAACCCCCTCAAACCTCACTCTCTGACGAGGTACTCTTCAATCTGACCTCCTTGCTGTTCCATTAAAAAAAACAAAACCAAAAAACCCCTATCTCTCAGCTCTGGGCATTCTCTCTGGCTGTCCTCCGTGCCTGGAAGGCTCTCCCTCCTCATCTTCACCTGCTGGCTTCCTCAAATACAAACTAAAATCCCATCTTCCTCAGGAACCTTCCCCAACCCTTCTTAAATCTAATGCCTTCCTTCTGTTATTTCCTATTTATTCATTAACAGTAGTAGAAAGACGTGCCTGAGAAAGTCAGTGGAGTTAATAGGGTGTAGCTTGTTAGAGAAGGCTGATCCCTGCATCGGGGGCCGTCTCCAGTCTTCCTGATCTGTATCTGGCCACCTGACCCAGATGGCTCTGGAGGAGAGAGTGAGGCTGGTGGCTTTGCATGGCCCTGCCTCACTTAAGTCCAATTCACTTGCAAGTCATGGCTTCACTTTCCTGAGGTCATGGTCTTCTTCTAGAATGAAAGACAAATAACAACCACCACAATTTATTCTGTATTTAGTTTGCTTGTATATATTTGTTTGTTATGAGCTCCTTAAGAGCAGAGACTGTCCTTCCCCTCTTTTTGTATCCCTAAGAACTTAGTGGAGTACCTAGCACATAGTAGGAGCTTAATAAATGTTTATTGATTGATTAATTAATTACTGGTAGCAGATTTCCCACTGTCATGTGAAAAAGAAGAGTGACCAATCCCAAGTACTGAACAATAAGTCCTGAGGCATAAATTATTTCTTTTCTAGACTTAGCAAGGATAAAGACACAGTGTCTATGACTAAAGGGAAGGTGGGAGGTTGACCTTAAATAATCTAGACAAGCAGGATCAAACTCAAATAGAAACAGACTCCTGTAGGCTACTTATTGACTTAGAAAATCACAAATTAACGTGATCTATGTTGTATTTTTTTTTTAATTTTGGAGACAATGGGGGGTTAAGTGACTTGCCCAGGGTCACACAACTAGCTAGCGAGTGTCTGAGGGCAGATTTGAACTCAGGTCCTCCTGATTCCTATTTTTATTTATTTTGTTAAACATTTCCCAATTACATTTCAACCTGGATCAAGTCAAGGCAGTGAATTTGACGTTCCTGATCTAGACTTCCCATTCTAAATGAAGAAACAAATGCACAAAGAAGAAATTGGTCCCTACCCACCGATTTTTCAAAATAGTCACAAACTAGCCTGTTGGGACCTCTTACAGAAGTCGCTGGGGGTGGGAGAGGCAACCAGGAAACCTTTGGTTCTGGGACAAAGACAGCAGAGATATTAAAAGTCAGGCTCTGGGGTTAGCCTGAATTTTTTCTTTCTGATGAGGGCACAGGGACAGGGTAACAAAACCTCGTGCCTAGGCCCCTGCTTCTGGGGGGTCTTTGTGCCAGGATTATCACCTATAGAGTTTCATCTGCCGCTTAAAAATCCCCGAGTTCTGAACTGCCAGTCTCCAGCTAAGCCCTTATCAGGGTGAACAGAACCCTCACATAAGCTATGGCATATGTCAACCTTGGCCTTTAATTAAATAGAAGAAAAACAGACTCTAAACTCAGCGCAAATCAACACAGGACACCAAGAGAAAGAAAAACAGGCTGACTTTGGGTCTAATTAGCATGACTAGAGCAACAGCAACAAAAAAAGAGCATCCCCACACCCCTCCCCCACCTGAGTCTACAACAACATGGAAAAATCTGAGCCAAGAAACAGTCAGGGAATGTCCCCCTTATTTTAAAACTGATAATGCAATCCAACCCCAGACCTTGTCATGGAGCAGGAGAAGGCCAAGGGATCCCTCACATCAAATTAAACACCATGTCCACTCAGTGCTGGGTCACGACATTGCCTCTTCAGAAATGGGCCTCTTTACTCCCGCTTGGTCCACTCAAACCAAAAAGGGCTATTGTGAACAAGTTCCGTGGGATGGCCCCTAGAGGCTAAATGAGTCTCTCCAGTGGAGTCAGGAACTGAGTTCAAATCTATCCTCCCTTACATTCTAGCTGTGTGACCTTGGGGAAGTCACTCAACCTCTGTCTGCCTCGGTTTCCTCATGTACAAAATGGGGGCCATAACAGTACCTACCTCCCAGGATTATTGTGAGGATAAAATGAGATATTTATAAAGGGCTTTGCAAGCTTTAAAATGCTATGTAAGTGCCAATTATTATCATTATTTTTATTATTATTATTGCTATTACTCTATAAGGATTTGTTGGTAGTAAGCCATCTCTTGTAAACCAAATATATGGCTACTATATGATAATCTTTTGGTGGCTGTTTATTTTGGCAGGACTTAAATTGCTGACTGCATGATAAAATTAAAAGTTCCAGGGCCAGCTTCCAGACCCCTAATTTGTTCACTTCCCTTTGGGGTTGTTGTTTTGTCATCTTTTTTTTTTTTTTTAACTATTATTGACATAAACGTTAAAATTTCCTCGCTAGAGAACAAAAAAGAATTTTCCATTTACTGGATTGCTAGGTATACTTCCCACCAGAGAGCTGTGATTGAATTTACTGGCAAGGAAACAGCAGTGGGAACCTGGGTAACTTCACATTTGAAAGGGAAGCCACTTTTCTTTTTTTTTTTTTTTTTTTGTGAGGCTGACGTCGGCTAAGCCTGGGAAAGAGGGTTCAAAAAGAAATCACTGTAGGTGAAGGGCATAAAAACTAGTGAAAATGCGGGGCAAGTGTGTGATCCAAAATGTGATGCTTGGCCCATTTATTTACTGATGTTGTCACCTGAAGGGAAAACTTCCAAGGCTGAGGACGTGTTCAGGTGGCTGGCTGGCAGCTGATTTGTGTCTCTGTTCTTTCTGTCTGATGTGTAGTACAGTTTGAATCTTTCCATGAATATCATTGGGAAATTAAGTGTCTGGAGCTGATCAGCTTGAGCTTATGAAGAGATGAACCTTTGTCTAGGGATTTGATTGCATCTTCCTGCAGAGGGTAAGGACGTGCTCTTTAGTGAATTCTGGGTATCTCTGTAACTGGGACTTTCCTCAAGATGAATGGGTTGGCTGATACTCTTGTGGTATACACATAATGGCAGGAGTTACTTCTTTGTGCTGATCATTTATTTTGGGGGTGTGGTGATGGGGTTAAGTGACTTACCCAAGGTCACATAGCTGATAAGTATCAGAAGCTGGGATTTGAACTCATGTCCTCCTGACTCCAGAGCCAGTTTCTCCATCCACTGAGCCATCTAGCTGCCCCATTGTGCTGATCTTTAAAAGAAGGCTAATGACTCCCTGGGTATCATTGCTGGCCTTTCAACAGAGTTACAATTCAACTTACCAAGTGTCACTGGTGGCTTCTTTGGTGGTACGGCACATGGGAGCCATATATTTTCATCCACAATGCAATTGTAGAGAGGAGACCCACACGGTCATGTGTCTTAGAGATTGCAGATTTATAGCCTAAGACATGGCAGCAACCAAGAGCATTGGGAATACCTAAACATGGTCCAAAAGTGCCCTCAACCACTTGGCAGTCATGGACAAGTGAGATGCAAGGTCCGCATGGTAAAAGTTCCTGAACATCAGTTCTAAAACTAGGACATTTAGAACACCCTAGAGCAGGGGTGGAGAACCTGTGTCCTTGAGGCCACATAGGTCCTTAAGTGCAGCCTTTTGATTTAGTCCAAGTTTTACAGAGCAAATCCTTTTATTATGGGGGTTTGTTCTGTGAAGTTTGGATTCAAAGGGCCAAATTGAGGACCTAGAAGGCCACAGGTTCCCCACCTCTGCTGGAGGCATATTAAAGGTTCCTTAGAACTCTAGAAGCATATTAAAGCATCTTTAAAATAAGCTGGGATTTCAGTCGAGACCAAAGCTAGAGATGGTCAAAGATACAACCAAGTATTACAGTCATGCCCCAGCAAGTCAAGGAAGGCCAGCAGAGTGTCATGCCCCACAGTGAGCAGAGGGAGGGAATAATGAGAAGGCACTGCGGACATGGGTCCAGTGGCAACTATAGAGTTAGCTGCCTTGTCTATGTGTTTGCTATGTGTTCACCCAGCTTTTATACTTTTTTTCCTACTGACACTGTGCATATTTGTCAGAGAGGGTATCCCAAGTACACCAATGAAATATTTTGCTGCTATCTTACTTACTATACCACTTCAGTAAATGCCTTTGCTTTGAGCTAGTTGTATCCTACAGGGCAACTAGGTGGTGAAATGGGCAGAGTGCTGGGCCTAGAGTCAGGAAGACTTATCTTCATGAGTTCAAATCTAGCCTCAGAAGCTTACTAGTTGTGTGACCCTGAGCAAATCACTTAATTCTGTTTACCTTAGTTCTTCATATGTAAAATGAGCTGGAGAAGGAATGGCAAACCTCTCCAGTATCTCTGCCAAGAAAACCCCAAATGGGGTCATGAAGAGCTGGACATGACTAAACAACACCAGTTGTGTCTGATGGCTGACTATCAAAAGGTAGGCATATGGGTGAGGCAGGGCTTATGAGCTTCAGTTTTAGGAGTCATGCCCCACAGAGTAATTTGAACATGGGGTAGCTACACCCAAGGAGACCCATTTTATGAGTTGGGAGGAGGGAGCCCACAGGTTGCCACTTGGTAATCTAGGGAAGATTTGTTGATTCTAGTTGAAGACTCCGTGGAATGATTTGTTCAGCTTTGGAAACTCTACCCTGGGGCTGAGCCATCTTTCTTTGTGATTGAGTGGGTGTGAACTTGCTTATCGCAGTGTATATATAGATGGCTCCAGACCAGACCATACTGTGCTTCACATTCCATTCAGCCACCCACCCAGACCACCGTGCCTCAGGCCTTTTTATCATTGTCACCTTGCTTCTCATCACCAGCACCCTGTGGACCAGACCTCCAGATTCTATTCCACTGGTCCCTGAGTAGGCTAACTTTTGATTTCCTGCTCTGGGCTGAAATATCTTGAATAATAACAAAACAAATATAAAAACTCACCTACATTACTACATCTAGCTGGTCCTGGGCCAGAACAGATAATCCAGAATGTACCATCCACTTGGCCCATTCTATCAGCATCATAATCAAATCAACACAATGTTTGCTTTTAGAAAGGGCGCATCAGCTCACTGTCCTATGGATTAACTCATCATCCCTACATCCTCTGCAGACCAAAATTCCTTTCTCTGGTCTCAATGCCTCAATATGTATTGTGTTCTCTTATTAGAATGTCAGCTTCTGGACTGCAGAGACTGTCTCACTTTTTGTATATGTATTCCCAAGGGCAGCCGGTGGTGCAGTGGACAGAGTGCTGAGCCTGGAGTCACAAAGACTCATCTTCCTGAATTTAAATCTGGCCTCAAACACTTACTAGCTGTGTGATCCTGGGCAAGTAAATTAATCCTGTCTGCCTCAGTTTCCTCATCTGTAAAATGAGCTGGAGAAGGAAATGGCAAACCACTCAGTATCTTTGCCAACAAAACCCCAAATGGAGTCATGAAGAGTCAGACATGACTGAAACAACTGAATAAGATATATATTCCCAGTGTTTAGCACAGTTCCTGGCATATAGTAAGGGCTTAATAAATTTTTTGAGTCATTCATTCATTTAGTTTTGAGAATCCAGAAATCTAGCGCATCAAAAGGAAGGGAGTTTCTAGGCAGAGATAACTTACTAAAGAGAGAAGATTATGCACATGGATCTTAAAGCTGGAAGAATGACAAGAAACTACAAGCCATGATTTGGAGAAACAAGAAACCTGTGCTTTGCCTTCCACTGTTACCTTAAGTCATTTGGCAGGGTTGGGTCCAATAGGAAGGGGGCTCCTATCTAGCATCCCGTGTGTTTCTCTTCAGGAGGTGTCTAAGACTTAATAGTGATACCATAAGGCTATATGCCTATGTGAGTTTCTAAGGGATCAAAGCGGGACTCCCTGGAACCTTAATTTCATTTCTTGTCTAGCAAGCCAAAGTTTGTTTCCCTTCCAGTAGGATTTGAAACCCCATTGTGGTACAATAAGTGAAGAAAATGTTAGGAACCTGTGGAACAGGGACCTCATCTGTGAAGCTGGGGGATTATGTTGATTGCTTATGGGTTTCTCTGTGAGTTTTATTCTTTTAATATCTTTTATGAAGCCAAACTCTCCCAAAAATTCTGCTTGAATTTTACAGTGAAGTCGTAATGGCAGAGTGGTGGAAAAGCTTCTGGACAGGCAGAGGGATTCCAAGGCCAAGCCTACTACTCACAAGAAAGATTTCTGGATAATGCCAAGTTCCTGGACCAAGGAGCAGCAAGAGGTAGGGCCATGATACAGAAATGTAAACTTGCACTTAGACCTTCACTGATAATGTGAGTTATATGGACAGTGCAGGGCAGGGGAGACAGGGTAATTCTTCATCAATGCCTAATTCTTTGTGGTAGTCAGGGATCCTCAATCCCAATGTTAGTCTATACAACCATATACAGTATGTCCCTGGGGAAAATCAGTCCCCCAACCCAGAGTTTATTCTGGGAAAAATCTCAGAATAGAGTTTGTCTAGTTTTCCACAAAGAGTTCCCAGATCTCTCACAAAGATTCAAAGTTGAAAATATTAAATATAGAATAGTTTTTATTTCACCTCATAGAAAATTACAAAGTCATCACTACAGGGTTTAATAATGACTTTTTTTAAAGAAAATTTTGAAATTAATTTAAATAAACATTTATTTCATTTTCTTTCTACTCCTCCTCCCACTGAAAAATGAAAACAAAATCCTTGCAATAAATTTCCATACTGATCATGTCCCCAAAATATACGTCACATTCTGCATTTTGAGTCTATTATTTCACTGTCAGAAGCAAGGTAGCATGCATTCTCATCAAGACCCTGGAATCATGGTGGTTACTGGATTGATGAAAGTTCTTAAGCCTTTCAAAGCTGTTTATCTTTTCAATGTATACATGACCTTTATAAGAGACTTGCTTCATTTAAGCATTGAGAGCTTCATATTGATACTCAATAACAGTTTTGAGACAAGCTCTTCTCCAGCTATCGATCCATTATTAACACAGTACTATGTATATATAAGTACTCCATAAATATTTGTTAAGGGTGACTACTGACACTGGATAGAGTGATAGCTAGATGGATAAGAGTGCTGGGTCCAGAGTCAGGAAGACCTGAATTCAAATATGGCCTCAGACGCTTAGCTGTGTGACCCTGGGCAAGTCACTTAACCCCCTTTGCCTCAGTTTCCTCATCTGTAAAATGAGCTGGAGAAGGAAATGGCAAACTACTCTAGTATTTTTGCCAAGAAAACCCCAGATGGAATCACGAAGAGTCAGATACCGCTGAAACAATTAAACAACAACAAAATATTTGAATTAATACATGATCAGCTGGGGGCTGTTCTGTCTGATGATTACATTGTCTATTCTCAGTAATACACAAGTTCATTATTCCCCTGTTGGATTACCTACAGTGAATTTTTAATACTGGATTAACTAACTTTTCCACAAAGCCCTAGAATGCTCCGGGATGCCTTCTTATCACCACCTCGAAGGTGAATTCTAAGGGACTGTTCATTTATTTGCTAACATTAATCACACTACACAAGCAAAATTAAAATAGGAATGGATCTTGTATTCCCTACCCTTTGGTCAGTCATCAGCAAAGCTCCCTGACGCAAGTGGGAGACAAAAGACCTGACTTCCTCCTCCACCATTTACAATGATCTAGGTCAGGCAATGATTCTCTAAATCCTCTGGAGGAGGACAAAACACAAAAGAAAGCTTAGAAGGGCACGGGGAATGGGGGCATCATCAAACAGAGCCACGGATGGAAATGAAGAGTTCCTTGGGAAGGTCTGAGCCCTCTACAAAGAAAAGCTTTGGGAATTTATTGCTCCCTGCTCCAGCACTCCAATCAGAGGCGAGAGGCACCTGAAGGTGCTGAGGCATTGAATCAATCTGCAAAATGATGAGATTTCAGGTGATTGCTTCTCCTGGGGGAGGCATGATGTTCATGGAGTCCAAACCAAACAGAGCTGCTTATGGAAAATGAGTGTTACAGACGTCTAAATCCCTGAGCCTGGGCTTTCCAGGTCAGAGTGCTGCGGACTTTTTTGTGTTGTTGTTGTTTTATTTGGTTTGGTTTTTGGAGACAATCATAGCGAAATGACTTGCCCAGGGTCACACAACTAGTAAGTATCTGAGGCCAGATTTGAACTCAGGTCCTCCTGACTCCAGCATCGGTGCTCTATCCACTGTGCCCTCCCTTCCCCACCGTGGCCTTTAACTTCAGTAAAAGAGGTACGTAACCCGTGCAGGAACAGAATATTGTGAGCGGCAAATAGAAACAGAGCTGTAATGAACAGTTTGGGGGCTTGGGTCAAGCTTTGCAAAATGCACCCACTAGATCCATCTTTTAAGGCAAATTCAGTTGAGGACAGCAAAAGATGCTGGGATACATCTCACCGGCGGGAGCTGGGGGGCCCTGGACGTCCCCGGAGACTCCAGTGGCAGGGTGTGGGGTTACGGGTTGGCGCTGGGCTAGGAAGGAGCTCACTGAGGACACAGCCCCCAAGGGGCGGCGGTAGAAGCTCCTTCTAACTTCCAGTTTCTGACTAATCATTGTCACCAGCCACATGCCAAGTTCAGTTGTTTCTACACTTCTGAAGACTGACGCTGTTAAGCGATCTCTTAAATTTTGTTGCCCAGGGGCAAAGTTCTGGTTCCCTTACCCTAGTTATGCTTTTGACTGAAATAACTCGTAAGAAAGCCCTTTTTAAGTGTGAAGCCCTCTACTAAGTAAAATATTAGTAATTTGATTTTATCAAACTCCTGGGCGTTACCAGGAGTAGAACAGATTGGCCCACTACATATGATTCTTAGACAATATCTATATGTAGATGTCAGAGTAATTTTTAGAATAATTTCCTTCGCTCAGTCATCACTGAATTTCGAGGATGAGCCCCACCCCCATCACTGCTTTGATTACCTATATGATCCTGGGCTAGGCATTTAATTCCTCCAAGTCTCAGTTTCCTCATCTCTGTTTTTAAAAAAAATGAGGATTTGGAATTGGACTAAAATAAAGTCTTTATGTTGCTATAAAACATCTGTAACACAAACGATGACATCAACCTCGTGGCTATCTAAATGAGCCCTTCAGACAGCCCAAAACAATGGGACCAGCTATTTCTCAGTCTGGCTTCATTATCTCAATTTCCTCTCCTTTCACTCATTTCTCAGCCATGGGCAATCTGGCTCCCAACCTTATCACCCAACTGAAACCGTTGCTTTCTCCAAAATTAACAAGAATCTGTATTTTTTTTTAGTGGGATTTATGATTTCATTGTTTTAGGGAGATCCTGGCAAGGAAATTCCTCAACAAATGCAGATCATCCCTTTCTCTTCAACTGAACATTTCTGAGAGTTGCTCCAAAGCAAAGACCTGCTTAAGTGATCAGCCCAAAGTCATACTGCAAATAAGTGTCAGAGGCAGGTCTTCCTAAAGCACAGAGATCTCTCCATCACCAAATCTGATAGCCTTTTCTCAGTCCTTCTTGTTCTTGAACTCTCTGAAGAGTTTTGACACTCTCCTTTCTGAATTTGTCCTCTCACTGCCCTCTTTGGTTCTGTTCCTACCTGTCTGGTCTACACTGAAATCCCTTACTGATAGCTATGTATTATTATTGTTGTTGTTGTAGTTGTTGTTGAGTCATTTCAGAAGTTTCTGACTTTTTGTGACCCCATTTGGGGTCTTCCTGGAAAAGATACTGGAGTCATTTGCCATGTCCTCCTCCAACTCATTTTACAGATGAGGAAACTGGGGCAAACAGGGTTAAGTGACTTGCCCAGGATCACAGAGCTAGTAAGTGTCTGAGGCCAGATTTGAACTCAGGAAGATGAGTCTTCTTGACTCCAGGCTCAGCACTCTAGGCACTATGGCACCACCTAGCAGTCCCTCTTGTATATTCTACCTCCCTAATATCTCTTGAAAACGTCCCCTTTTTTCCACTGGCAGGATCAGTATCTTAGTACAGCCCTTATCACTCTTGATTGGATAATTACAATAGCTTCCTAATCGGTCTGTCTGCCTCTGGTTTATCCTCTTTGCTCAATTCATCCTTCACTTAGTGGCCCAAATGATATTTCTAAAGCACAGCTTTCTCTGCATCACTCCTCTGCTCTGAAGGCTCCAGGGACTCTCCTTTTGCCTCTAGGATAAAGTATAAATTTCTCCACTTAGTATTTTAAATTTTCTTCCCTCTGACTCTAGCCCACCTTCCCAGACATATTCCCCTTCACCGATTCTATATTTTAACCAAACTGACCTACTTGTTCTTCACACGTGGCATTCCATAACCCAGTCTGTGCCAATTGCACAAAGTTGGAATTACTCTCTTAGAATCCCCAAGTTTTTTCAAAGTTCAGGTGTGCCCCATTCTGCACATCCTTACCTGATTCCCCCAGCCACCAGTGCCTCCGTCTACCTCATTAATGGCTTACACATACATGTGTGTGTGTATTTGTAAGTATAACTTGTCACTGTAGACCATGAAGGTTGCTGGCTAACAATTCCCTCCTTCTTCCATGCAGAAAGACAGGGTCAAAATCCTCCTGGACCACTCCTATCTCTTGAGAGATACCATGCAGTCTCACTGTGCAGCCTCAGAGATGAGATTTTCTCTTCGAGTCTCCTCCTCAATACCCTCCCATTTCACTTGAATCAAGGTGGGAAAGGAGACATCCAAGACATCAGCTATGGACTTCCCTAGTAAATTCTGCTTGTGATCAAGGAAATAATGATTAGGCTCCTTTGATCATCAAAGAAGGAAATGCACCAGGTCCTCACAATCAATTCTCTCTTTTCTAGGAGAGTTTAAGCACTTACAAAAGAAAATCATCTCCAGCACTCCCAGGCATTTTCTTTGACCACCAAGCCTGGAAGTGGGGTCCTAGCTTATGTGAAATGTGAGGCAGTCACCTGGCACATCACATAGAGTGATAGACTTGGATGGCGGCAGAAAGACCTGAGTTCAAATCCTGCCTTAGACACTCACTAGCTTGTATGAGCTAGCCACTTAACCTCCACTAAGTTCAATTTCCTTATTTGTAAAATGAGGATATTAAGTTAAATGAGGGTTGTTGTGAGGATCACATAAACTAACATAATGTAAAGCACTTTGCAAACCTTAATGTACTATAAAAATGCTAACTATTGAAATATAAAAGCCCTTCAGAGCTGTTCTTTCCCATTCTGCACTCTCTGAAATTAAAAATACATTTGCACGATGACAAACAACTCTTTAT